GATGATGGTGTTGATCTTGTGGTATCATTCTTTCCTCCATTTTATTTGCTTTTGTTTTGTTTAGCTTGTTATAAAAAAAAACTTGAAACTGGGTGTAGGAGTCCAAGTCTACCCCGGTAGATATTGTTCTTTTTGGGCTTTACCTTCCGAGCTTCCCCTCATAGTTTGTAAAACGCATCTACTAGGGGAGGTTTTCACGTCCTTGTAAGGAATGCTTCGTGCCCCTCTTCAATTGACGTGGAATCTCACAATCCACCTCCCTTGGGGGCTAGGGTCCTCGCTGGCACATCTCTCGATGTCTGGCTCTAATAACATTCTATCACGACCCTATCTCACTACTAGCAAATATTGTCATTTTTTGGGTTTTCCCTTTTGTGTTTTCCCTCAAGGTTTTTAAAATGATCTACTAGGGAGATGTTTCCACACCACCCTTATAAAGAATGCTTCATTCCTTTCTCCAACTAATGTGGAATCTCACAATCCACCTCCCTTGGGGGCGAGGGTCCTCGCTGGCACACCTCCCCTCCCGATGTATGGCTTTAATACCATTCTGTCACGACCCAATCCCAACGTTCAGATATTGTCCTTTTTGGAATTTTCCTTTCAAGGTTCCTCTCAAGGTTTTTAAAATGCATCTACTAGGGAGGGGTTTCCACACCCTTATAAGGAATGCTTTGTTCTCCTCTCCAACCGCATCTACTAGGGAGAGGTTTCCACATCCTTATAAGAAATGTTTCGTTCCCCTCTCCAACCAACGTGGAATCTCACATCGGACTAGCAAGGTTTTGTGTTTCTGTTGTTATCTGTTATGTTTGAGAAATGTTATTCTTAATTCTTGTCTCATGAAAATGGTGGGGAGTGGCGTCTTGGTGTTGTTGGGCAAGGACTTATGTTTTGATTTGACTGGAGAGAGAGAGAGATCCTAATGATAAAAGTTACATCCAGGCTTTTGGGTGCTAGAAGACGTAGAACATGTTTGGAATGACTTCTCAAGTGCTTAAAATACTTTTTCAACGCTTAAAAATCCTTTTATATGCATTTAGAAAGTCTGGACTCTAATATCAAAACTAGGAGCAAAAACGACTAATGTATCTTCGTATTAAGGGTGTTTACTTTCAAGTTATTTTTGTGAAGACACTTTGACTTGGAGCGAGTCAGAGACAGACAGACTCCTTTCTGAATAAGAGCTACGTCTTAGTTCTTGGAGTGCTAGAGTATTATTAGTAAAACTGGAACGAGTATTGTCGTATCTCGCTATATGAAGTGGACCAGGTGGTAACCTTTTGGAGATCCTTTGATTTGTAGGGAGGGAGGGAGAGCGTGTGTGTGGGAGATGCTTTAATTTTCTATGTTTAGGTTGGTGTCTAAACTAGCTCGTAGGACCTCGACTGCTCTCATAGGACAACCGTCTAACCCTACAATATTTGCTTGTGAATAAAACTCATAGGGTATTAAATCCTAGGCAGGTGGCTACCGTGGATAGGTATCAACTTAGATTTTTTTCCCCTGATTTTTCTCTTCTGAGGGAATTCTTTTATGGGAAATGATTTGCAATCCTTGTGTTATATTGATTTCCATTGTGGAACTTGTTGTTAATTCCATGTTCTTGCTTGAAATCTAGATAAAGGGTCCTAATGGTGAACATCTTCATGATGTCCGAGACAAGACGAGCGAAAAACATGAATTTGTTGTTCACAACAAAGGCCTTCATCGATTCTGCTTTACGAACAAGTCTCCGTACCACGAAACGATCGACTTTGATATGCACGTTGGTCATTTTTCCTATCAGGAGCAGCATGCAAAAGATGGTGAGATACCATTCTATGTTTTATTATGTACTGACATTGTTTTACAAGTTAAAATCAATCTCAAAATTGGTGCATATGCCTGCAGAGCATTTCAATCCTTTGATGGATCAAATATCTAAGCTGGAGGAGGCTCTTTACAATATTCAGTTTGAACAGCATTGGTTAGAGGCTCAGACTGATCGCCAGGAAATAGGTATGTCGATGAACTCGTCTCAAGCTTTTATAGTTTCTTCGACATCGACTTAGGAGTTTATTTCCTACGTTGAAGTTTTTCCTCGATGATATCGAGTGACTTTGAAACTTAACATATTAGATCCCGTTTGATAACTATTTGGATTTTGAAAACGTTTACAAAAGTAGATAACAAAGTAAAGGAACACATAGGTGGAAGTAACGTGAGCTTAATTTTTTAAAAGACAAAACAAGGAACCAAATAGTTATCAGTCGGGGCCTTAGGCAGTGTTCTTTTGAGTTCAACCACATGTAGGGGTGGAGGATTCCTGAGCGTGGCTACTCCCCAAAGTTTTGTTGTATAAGATATTCGAAGAAAGATTATGAGTAACAGAGAAGCCTTGCTTAACTTGGGGGTGTTCACGGGTTCGTAGGCTTGGTTGGCTTAAGCAACATCTCGGATATAACCCAATTGTTTAAGGTGCATATTTTATTAGAAACCATGACTCTCCACAATGGTATGATATTGTCCACTTTGAGCATAAACTCTCGGGGCGTTGCTTTTGGTTTCCCCGAAAGGCCTCATACTAATGGAGATGTATTCCTTACTTATGAACTCATGATTAACTCCTTAATTAGCCAATGTGGGACTCCTCTCCCAACAATCCTCCCCTCGAACAAAGTACACTATAGAACCCCCCTGAGGCCTATGGAGCACTAGAACAAAGTACACTCTTTGTTCGACACTTTAGTCAACTTTTGACTACACCTTCGAGGCTCACAACTTTTTTCTTTGACATTTGAGGATTCTATTGACATGACTAAATTAAGGGCATGACTCTGATACTATGTTAGAAACCACAACTCTCCATAATGGTATGATATTGTTCACTTTGAGCATAAGCTCTCATGACTCTTTTTTTTGTTTTCCGAAAAGACCTCATACCAATGGAGATGTATCCCTTACTTATAAACTCATGATCAACCCCTTGATTAGCCGATGTGGGACTCCTCTCCCAACAATCCTCAACATATTTGACCAACCCACTACTTAAAACTCGTACGGTTTGGTTCAGGTTGGGTTGAACGCATGTTCTTTTTTTTGGTACACTCGTAGCATATAGTCCATGGCAGATACCTCATAGGGGTATCAAGTGGAACTCGGGTCACATTTCCAGTTCAATCCGAATACCGATCTTGAAAGAATGAAGCTCGAGGTAGTAGATTGATTTGTTGGGTGATGTATTTGTGGTGTGTTTGATTGCAGTGAATGAAGCAATGAGCAAAAGGGCAATGCACAAGGCAATGTTTGAATCAGCAGCGCTTGTAGGGGCGAGTGTCCTCCAAGTCTACTTGCTGCAGCGCTTGTTTGAAAGGAAGCTTGGCACTTCCAGAGTTTAAACCCCCTTTTTACTTCACCAACATTCTTTTTACCCCCACAGTAAAAGATTATATGCTAATCTATTTCTTCCTGTTCTTATTTATTTTTTTTTTTATTACTTTTGTTAGTGGAAATTCGGGAAGGAATTAGATTTTTATATTTAAATATGAATTTTTGAATTATTGTAAGAATATATGATATTCAAATATCTCGAGATGTTTAGCCATTTTATTGCCCATACCAGAGGTATATTGACTACTTTTAATGTCTTTTCTTTCTTAGATATATATATTATAGCTAAAAATAAATTAATACATTAATTTACTAATAAATAACTGTATGCAATTAATTATATTTATATTTTTCATTTACATATAAAAATGGTATAATGTGTAGCTAATTTTATTCTTAAATAAATTGAATTATTATTTATTTATTATTCCTCTCAAAATTTCTCTTTTGATAATTAGGGATAGTTCACTAAAAATACTACCAAATTATTAAAGTAAGTTTAAATACTTTTATAAAAACATAGAACAATATAAATTAACTTTTTTTTTTATAAAAAAAAAGTAAAATTAATTTAAAAAAAATTGAATTGATAGCAATAAAATATTTGATTATTAAAGACAAAAATATATTAAATTGAGAAAAATAGGATTGAAAAAAAGGAGAATTATAGAAGCAGAATATAAATTATTCTTAAAATGAAAATAAACAGAATTAAAAAAAAAAAAAAAAAAAAA